GATTTTTGTTAAGAATGGACAGCAATATATGGCCGTGGTCCCACAGGATTTTAATGGAGCTGAGAAATTCCTGTTGCCTAGTGATATCTTGACATGCAAGATCATAGGGCAGCACGCTTTTCACATGTCTGTGGTGAAGCTGTGCCTAGGTTTTCCAATGCATGACCTTCCTTAAATTTCCGTGTCCTTTAACAAAGCCATTGGGAATGTATTGCTGTGTGTGTGTGTGTGTGTGTGTGTGTGTGTGTGTGTGTAGGCATATGTACATGCACGTGTGTTCTCACTTGGCTCTCATCCCTGAAAATTCTGCAAGTAGCAAATACCAGTTTTTTACAGGAAGATTTCTGGGTCAGCCTCCTTTCCAGGACTTTTCCTCAGCCCCGTTTTCTAAGGATATGTGCCTCCAAGTGTTGCTCTCAGGCATTCGCTGGTAAGAACTACCTGCTTCTCTCTGGAGACCACCTTGTTCAGTCATAGCTGCCCCTGCTTTACTAAGTCATCCATCACACTCTGTCTCCTCTCCAGCATCCACAGGCTGCCATCACCTCCCCTGCCATCTTAGTCTCAGGGGCTTGATACATTTATTTTCAATTCCACTATTGCCACTATCAGTGGTATTTGGGGTAGGAGAGGAGATAAAAGCCTGTGCTTAATTCCATATGTTTACCTTGAAATTTCTTTTGATTTCTTATCACAACTATAAGCTTCCCAGGTGGAAAACCAATTCTCTTATACGTGTCTGTTTTGTAGTGCACCTCCTAGGCACACCACAAATAGTGAGTGGTCAAATGAATAAATTATTTATGCCAACAGATCTCTCTGAAATCCAATTATTTTAGCTGCTGATGTGATTATTTCTCCTGAGATTATCTTGGGTTAATCTTGCAACGAGGTGAGGGTGCTGATTGCCCCATGAGGGCTTTCAAACTGACACCTGTAACCGAGGGAGGTATTTTTCTCCATTTTACTTGATTATTTAGTGTGTCAGCATGACAGAAAAGAAGTTTCAATCCATTTCTGCTTCAAAGGTGATATCTTTCTATTTTTCATAAGGACTTTAGCTATTTAATCTTTACTGCCCTTCTTGAAGGTTGGCTTTCTGACTGTTTAAAATGTAATGGTTTGGCACATACAGAGTCCTATCCAAATAATTGTTTCCCGTACTTGGAAAAAAGTGTGTGTGTGTGTGTGTGTGTGTACACTTTTTAAATATATATGTGTGTGTTTATATACATGTATACACACATATATACACTTTTTTTCTTCTTCCTGGTACCCAATATTCTTCTGAGTTTAAATATTAACACTAAATAAAAAGTTGCTTTTCTATATTAAACATTTCTTTTACTTTTCACCTTGTTGTGAGTGACCTTGTTGCTGTGTTCATATGCTTGTCATCTCTCTCCTTGTCCTTTTCCCTCACTCCTCCTCTTTCTTCTCCTCCTTCTTTTAGCCACGAATGATAGCAGGAAATGAGTTTTGTACCTCTACCAAGTACAAGTATATGCCGTGGGAACAAAAGTTTCTGGTCACGATCCTTAACCCTTAACAGGTGTGACTGCTGTGAGGCGTGTCTTCTGTCAGGCTCTGTTTCACTCAAAACAGGCGATTGGGATCTGCTGTTTATTTTACAACACAGGAGGTCACAGCCTGATGTTGCAAAACAGTGCTCCAGGTAGCGTGAAGAGACCCTAAACCACATGTTCATGCTTCCTCCCTCCCTCCCTCCCTCCCTCTCTTCATTTTGTTGCCAGAATTAAATAGCATTGCTTTGAAATCAGAAATAAAGATTAGCGGGTCCTAACAAGGCAGTGATGCTCATTTTTATGTACTCCTTAACTGCCATCTCTATCCTTATGCACGGCTGGCATCTTAGTCCTGTGGCGGGAAGACATTTGGTCTAGTTAGTTTGTCCTTTTTATTTTTTATGTTTAGAGGTGTTTTCATAGCAAAATTAAGTAGAAGGCAGACAGATGTTCCATATACCCCTCCCCCTACACCTGTAGCCTTCCCCACAGTCTCCACCCTGAACCTGAGGGCACATCTGTGATGTCTGATGAACCTATACTGACTCATCATTATCACTCAAAGTCCACTCAGTAGTAAGTCCACCTAAAGCCCTTTAAGGTCCTCTTTTTTGTCTTGGACATTCTAGCAACTGGAAACACTCGTAAAGCCACACACCCACCGTCACAGTATCACATGGATATCTTCCCTGCGCCGACAGCCCTCTGCTCAGCCCCACCAGGCTCCTCTCCCCGTCTGATCCCTGGCAGCCACACAGACCCTATTGCTTTTGCCACCCTGCAGGTTCCCCTGAATTGCATGCCATCTCTTTGAGGTATAATTTTATTTGTTGAAAGAACTTTGACATTTACTTAGTATTAGGCCTTGCTGACTGATTTTTATTGAAATCACTAAGATTCTTTTTATTAAGCATTTTTTTCTAGTCATAGAATCATACATATGAATTTTGGAAAATCCAGTCAAGTACAAAGAAGAAAATAACATTTATAATTCCACTGTTCTAAAATAATGATTATTAATAATTTTAATATTAATAGTAGCAACTATTAATATATAATAACTATTAATAATATATTGCCTTCATATCCTTTGTTTGCAAGTACAATGCATTTTTGCTATAATGCCTGTTACAGTTTGGATCCGAGGGGGTCCCCAGAAGCTCCTGTGCTGATGCAGGAACATTAGTGGTGACATAATTCGATTGTGAGGGCTGTAACCTGATCAGGCCACCCTTCTTACTGAGTGGCTACTGTAGGCATTAAAAAGTATATAATAAGAAAACACCCAGAATAGTTCAACTCCTGGATCTTACTGAGAATTTGAGGTTCTGCCCTTTGAGGTGAGGAACTGCTCTAGTGGATACTCTGGGGGCAAGGAAGTCTTGATTCTTCTGATATCTTTGGATCTGTGGGATCATCTGTGAACTAGACCCCTCAAAATGGTGACTGGCAGAAGTATCCCCTTTTGAGGTGAGGATGGGAGGTCTTTGTGGGACGTTGATTTTATGGGAGAGTATTACCAGCCTATTATTCTGTTCTTCCCAGAAATATTGCTAAAAAGGGACATTGGGGTGTTGTTTTCTGAAACTGGTGAAGTTTGTTTTTGACATCAACTTGAAGTTGACTATCTCCGCAAATACTGGAAAAAACCCTCCCGTTTGCCTTTTTTTTTTTTTTTCCCCTACTCTCAAGCTAATGCTAATCAAAAACAGTATTTAGTTAACCTCTTGAAACAAGTTAGTCAAGTGTGCCCTGAAGGACTAAACTGATAAATAGGATAAAATTAATTGCTGGAGGCGAATCACTACAATTCATTCTTCCTGTTTGCTTAAGCTGTGTTTTTGAGTTTGGAGAGGTACCGGGTTCCACAGCACAAGCCTGGTTCTTCACTAGAACAGAACTTGAGGACTAGATCTTCCAACCACGTCTTAGGCAATGCAATTCATGGATAAACTTGAGTTGATCTGTTGCTTCTTTTGAACTTGGTGCACATTTTTATAACCTCAAGAACTTGAGGTTTCTGATCTCACAGTCATTCAATTTTATACTTATAAAATGGCAGTCACATTCATGATATCTCTGCGAACCAAAAATACCTTCTCAATATGATTCCTAGGAAATATCTACTGTGTTCCATTACTGAGTTATTTATACCTGTGCTGATGGTGAAATGGGTATTTAAGAAAGTGCTCTGTGCAAAGCAGGTATTTAAAATTTCAGTCTGAAGATGGTTTTTCTTAAAGCCGTGGAATAAGGAGGGCTTTTTAATTTGGTTTCTCATCACCAATGGATGTCTTAGTCCTCAGGATCTTGCTATCATAGATATTTTATTTCTAAGACAGAAAATCAGCTATTAAGTCCTCACATTCTGTAGGTTGGGGTTTTGGGAAGCTTTGAAAGAAGAATTGTTTTAGTCTGGGCCCCAGCTATCCCACCTTGGGAGATGTTAGGCCTAAGTTATAACATTTAGAGCCAAACCCTTCAGTAAAAGAAGAGTTGAATATTTGTTAAAAAATTTTGAAATGTAATTATTTTTGGTTTCCAGCATATATTTTCCCCTCTATGACACATTTAACCAAAACAATGCATTTTATTTTTTTAAAACCAAAATAATGATTTTTAAGCCTGACCTTCTAATACTATGGGTTGAGGAAATTTAATCTCTCCTAAGGTAAGCATCAGCCATCTGACAATTTCTGAAAATAAAATCTACCATCCATCCAAGTACAAAAAGTAAATTTCTAGATGTTACAATGTCTTCCCCTCATTGAAAGCTTTTAGAATTTATTTAAATTAAACTTTCATTGTAAATACACATTTTGAAACATTTGAAAATAAAATCAGGCTGCTTCCTAGTATAGCCATCATGCTATCTAAATTGTTAAAAAAATCTACCGAGATGCCAAGGAGAGTTGCAACTTGAGATGGCTGATCCAAAGCTCTCAGCCAAGGAGCCCACAAAGTAGAGTGCAGAGCTCAGATTTAAGACCTAAATATGGTCCCCTTCTCGGTTTCTCTTTCCCCTACCTCATCCTTATTTTCTCTCCTTCTCTCCTTTATTTCTACATCATCATTGTGTTTCTATAATTGTGATCTGTAACTAGGATGTAACTTTTAAAGTAAATCCTTCCATTGATTTTAACATTCTCCCTGCCCTGCTTATTTTCTTCAAGGACTACTACTACTACTCCCTTGATATATTTGTCATTAAATGATTCTAGAAATCTTAAAAAGGAATTGAAGTTTAAAACAGAATCCATCCCCTATAATAGAAGTAAGCTATGTTTGTGATGTACACATCACTTTTTTTCTCTGATGGGTTGCATGACATTTGTCAAATGAGATAATTTTCATGATAGTGTTTCTCATCTGTTCTAATTTATATTCCCATGTGAACCCCACTGAATTTCTGTGTCTCTGCAGAATGACTCGGTTGACCAAGTTCTGGTTTTCCCTGTCTTTTATTTGTTCTAGATACATTTCATATTGCTCTTCAGTCGACAAGGGAAATTGCGGCTGCAGAAATGGTACACCACCCTCCCCGACAAAGAAAGGAAAAAGGTCACTCGGGAAATTGTTCAGATTATTCTCTCTCGTGGTCACAGGACAAGCAGTTTTATTGACTGGAAGGAGCTAAAACTTGTTTATAAAAGGTGTGAGTAATTTTATAAGAACTGGATTTCTCACTGTTGCTTTGGTTGGTTCTAATCATGAACATATTAGATTACAACACCAATGACGTCATTTCCTGAAGTCTTTGAAGGCTGAGGCTCAGATACTTGTACCATTAAGCCATCTAGCCAAGAACTCTTATTATTAAAATGACTTCCATGGGCTAGGATGGATTCTAAAGACTAGACCCGTATGTTGATTGTGCATAGATGAATTCAGGAAATATTGGATGCACCCCTGTCATATTCCTGGCATTCTGACTTATGGCCACAGATACAGACAAGGAACTCTCCTGCTGTCACAGAGTGTACTCCTTGGTTTAGATAAGATATTTTCAGTGAGTAACATGCTATGGAGAAAATTCAGGTTCATGTGCTAGAGAGATGGGGACTGTGTTTACTGGAGCAGCTTTTTATATACATATTATTCATATTTGTTCTTGGGTAAACGGAAGACACAGTTCAAGGAATTAATTTCCAGTCACAGTAACTGACTGGTAATTGGTAGAGCCAGAACTCAAATCCGGATTTTTCTGGCTTTAAAGCCTATATATTCTTTTTACTGCATCTGTTTGAAACAGTAAGACTATCCTAGAAAGGAATCTCTATAAATGAGAAAACTGAGCCCTGGGAGGTAGTGATTTTGCCCATGAAGACCAGAAGCTGATGCCTAAGTAGGACCAGAACATGGCCAACCTGACTGAACCTGCATCCAGCATCACACCATGGTTTCCAGGAGGAAAGCAAACATTAGAAGCGTCCTTGCAGAGGGTGCTTATGAAACCTAGAAGGAAAAATGGAGGTGACCTCTGCAGACTGATATTTAATGGAGTAAGTTAGCATCAAGTGCTGATCCTTCTGCCGGGTCCACGCTCAGAGCTGACAAATTGAGGGATGCCTACGGAAAGACTGGAGTGCCTTATGAAGTACCAGGGCCTGAAGCAAGGGCCCCTGAGAGCATGGGTCAGGGCTTTGGATTTTACAAAGCTCAGTTTATAAGCTGGAGAGAATTACCTTGAAGAGCTATTATCAGGAGGATGGAATTCTTTGGTCCCTGGTAATCAGGGTGTTTGCTCACCCTGATTACCAGGGACCAAAGAATTCTGTCCCCCTGATAATAGCTCTTCAAGGTAAAATTGTGTTGAGAGCCTTTCATGTAATTAACAGAAGTGATGTAATCACAACAATGTTTGTATATATTCTGTTTCCTATTTAGGGAACATATTGGATGTGATGAATAATAATTTCATTCTTGGAAGGGGAGACTCTCTGGAGAAGTGGAGGGGACTGTGTATTCATGGGGAAAAACCATCTTTTGGTTGTTTAACGTCTCATCCTGTTTTGCTTTCTTTATTTTTATCAAGGTATGCTAGTTTGTATTTTTGCTGTGCAGTAGAAAATGAAGACAATGAGCTTTTGACACTAGAGATCGTTCACCGTTACGTGGAGCTGCTGGACAGATACTTTGGGAATGTAAGTGTTGCTCTGCTCTGTTAGACTCCGTCTCCATCTCAGCTCCTGCTTCGGTTGTCTCGCTTATTACACTCCTTCTCTCTCCCAAGTCTAAAATATGAATCACATTTGTTCCCAGGATAGTACAAGTCCACCTTGGATCGGAACACAGCTTTTCTCCCTACCTGTTATTCTTAGTAAATGAAAGACAAACCTTTCTGGGGGGGGGGGGGGTCTATACCTTGTTTCACTGAACCAGAACTTAGTCATGGAGGGTCCTTGACGCTCTCTTCCTCATTCCTTACTGGCTTTGATATCTCTCTTCCTTTTGACTTTTTATCCCTTTTCTGGCCTTTTATCCCATGCTACAAATATTCTTTAATGTTGTTAATATGTAAGGAAAAATAAAACACCAAACAGAAAAAAGCCCAAATCCTTTCTGTTCACGTTGCTGTTCCAGAATCCTTTTGCATTTGCTACCAAGTAACATACTATACCAAGATTATCCTTATTTCATATCATACCCGATCTGCCTGAACCTTCAGCCCATTCATTCAACATTAGCATACAACATTAGCCTCCACTCTCCCTGCTGGTCAACACCAGTGACATTTCTTGAGTCCCCACCTTCCCTCCCCTCTCTGCAGCCCTGGATCCTTCCTCATTGCAATGTGTTCTTTAAGTTCCCTCCTCTTTATTTTGCCATGACAATGATTTCTGCTGGCTCTTGTCCTTTGTATCTTGCCTTCTAAATGCCCTGCTTCCCTTCCTACTCTCCTGGTGTATCTACTGACTCTCTCTCCTGAAATCCTTCACCAGCTGACTCTTCTTTGCATCACTGGTGATGGGCTTCACTGGACATCTCACAGTCTAGAACCAACCTGTTCTATCTTGAGGTTGGAATTTATTATGTTCCAGAATTCTCCAGTGCCAAAGGACAGGGTTCTTTTTTTTTTTTTTCGTAGAATCTACCTCTGTCTATTCAAATTACACTACCGTCCATCTCTTCCCTTCCACTCTCACTAGCAGAGGTTTACTTGGGATTTCAGTTTTGCTTTGCTTTCTAAACTTCCCATTGGGTCCTTTCTGTTTCTGGGTTGTTCTGTTTCTTTCTTGGCCGTCTTTCTTAGGCATAGCATCCCTTTGCAGTCATTCTTCATTATCTGTCATGAATAAAATTCAAACCTCCTAGGTTGGCATTTCAGTTTTCAGAACTCAGTCCCTGACCGTTCCTCTAACCTTGTGATGTTCCTGCTGCGCATACCTGCCATCGCCAGTCCTTCAGGACATGGCACAGGTCAGAGCACCCCTAACACAAGAGCTGCCTCACAACCAAGTTGCAAGTCACTGAAGTACTGATCTGAGACCTGGTTGTTTTCTTCCATCCATTGTAACCAGCTCTGAGCCAGATTTTAGCCAATCATTTAATCTAGTTCACCATTTTAAGAAACATATCATTGGATTTGGAAAATATCTTTCTCTTGTAATATTCTCTGCCCTATCCTCTTGCTCACTAAAGACTTTTTTTTTTTTTTTTAATCAAGAGAAGTTAGGAGAATTTGTTCCCAGAAGAGTCTTCTGTGTTCCCTGTAATGGAAAAAGCAGTTTTTGCAGAGTTGATCAGGGCTTTATCAGATTTATTGCAATAGTTTTCTTAAGAATGAGTCCTGGGAGAGGTTTGGAAAGAATTTTCTCTCCCTCCCTTCCCCCACCTTTTCCTCCCCTGTAAATGATGTTTTAGTCCTAAAATGCTGCTTCAAGGATTTTAATTGTGGGACAATATAGAAGTAATAAGACAGCTATGCCATTGTTTTTTTTTCCTTCTCCTGCTTCACCAAGTTTTCATTTTTTAAAGAGTGATTTGCAGATGTAAAGTAACGTTTCAAATGTGAGATAATTTAATTTAACACTTTCTTTTATTTCTACGCATTCTAGCATTTTGCTATTTTCCTTTGAAATAAACTACAGACATGGCCCTTTGCAAGGGTCTGGAAGAGTTTTCTGAAGTCCAAAATTTCCCATCACCTGTCTTCTCTCCCTTGTTTCTGAACTCTGATTTGACCTGTTCTGTTTTCTTAGATTAAACCAAGTGTGATAATGTGAACTGAGGCTGAGTTTTGATCTCGGTGTATCTAACCGAAATTCAACCAAGTATTTCAGAGCATGTCACATCTCAAGAGAATTTGAATGACCTTCACCAATGTTTTGTCCAGTCAAAGTAGAAGGAAAGTCAGAGTGAATTCCCAGCTCTCTAACATTAATTTTCCAGCCTATTCTGGTATCCTTTAGAAGCTCGATCTTTGTCATGAGCCAAAATGTAATTCACTAAAAAATTCAATGAATCTTTGATTAAGCTAAGAGCAGCTAAGAGCCCTTCATGGCTCTGTGCCCAGTAGGTGTTCAATTCTTATTAATTAACAGTGATGAGCAAAGTACCGATTTTCATTGACATCATCTCAGAAATAATATATTTGTCTTTTCCTCTTGTGTTCCCTTTAACCATGCCCTTTTATTATCCAAGGCAAAACATTGTCCTCAGCATCTCTTATAACTCAGGCGAATATTATCTTCCAAAGACAGAGAAATCAAAATCTCTGGTTACTAATTTAAGTTATGTATTTTTTAGCACTTTTCAATTCCAAGGAGATTTACAAGGATTAACTAGTTAATCTTTCGATCTTCAGTAAGTAGTATTAACCCCAATTTATAGAGGCTAAGAAGAAATGCCTTAGAGTCTCACAGTAGATAAGCGTCTATTTGAGGATTTAGATACCTACCAAACTTTCCATTACAGATTGTGGTATGAAGTTTTACTGATGCACTCAGAGTACCCAGATTTGGCCATCCCAGCAAGTTTTTGAACTTCATGTAGGAACCACTATGCATCCTGCCGAGTCCTGTTGTCAGCTTGTACTAACTCACCCATGATTTAAGACCCATCATCTATCTCCATTTTACAGATGAGAAAAATGGCATTCAGAAAGGTTAATAGAAGTATTTGCTTTGCTAGCCTCATGGAGCTGCTCGCTATGAGGGTCAAAGAGAAAGTAAAGAGCAAAACTTTATAAACTCTAAATTGCCGTATAGTCGTATGTTGTATTATAACTTTTTATTTTATACATAGCTTTATAGTATTTATGTAGTTTCTTATTGTCTGAAGCATTTCCTGCCTGCAGTTTGAATTTTTTTGTATTGACGTTGGAACAAAATTCAGTTAAGGGCAGGTGCTTTTAGACTCTACTCAAAAGAATTTAGTTGGTGAAATGTCAGAAATAACTTCACTACAGCAGGGCTTCTGCCAAAAGAAAAGACCCACAAGCCGTATTATAGTAAAACACAAGAAGGAAGTCAAGATTCTGCTATTGTCAACTTTATTCTTGATGCTATAGATAATATAAGGAAAAAATGAGTAAAGAGGTTCATGTGTATATTAACATGGTGCAGGAAGCCACAGGTGTTCACATAATTAGGTAGAGTGGAGTCTTGTAAGCATTGAGGCAGAATCTTGAGGAATTTAGAAGTATTTGAGTAATGAAGCAATAACTGAAGAAACTTGAATTTTGCATAAGGTTCTCCAGGGATGTAATTCTCAGTTGGAGTTAGTCTCAAAGATTAACCAGAGAATAGCATTTTGAAGTTGCTGTATATGAAATATTTGCTCATTATCAGAATTCTCGATAATGACAATGAACTTGTTTATTCATTTCTCTTAATGATCTAGAGGTAGTAACTGTATATCAAAGTATGTATGTTTTTATGTAACTGGATCTGCATACCACCTTACCTTATTCTTATCCCTTGAAACTAGGTGCAGTAAATTTGTTGCCCCATGGCTACTGGAAGACCCTACAGGCCTGGGGATAGGTGCTGCTCTCAGAGTGGGGTGTCACAAATTCCTAGAGAACTTGCATTAGTATCTGTTGGGTCCACTTGCTAGACTCTGATTGCTGGTTTGTCCTGATGAGGCTCCTGTCTATCTTGGATTCCTGATGTACATCCACCTTGAACCCTAAGGCTCCTCTGCTATCGCTCCTGTAACTCCCGACTTCTGCCTCTCCTGACCTCTGGTAACTGCTTACTTCTCATACCCTCTTTCCTGTGTGTGGATGTCTAATCTACTGTGATTTCTTTTTGTTTAGTTATATTGCTGAAAATTACAAAGTAATGCACATTTTTCATATCCTTCAAGACATACATAATTTTTATTCTTAGATAAATGGGATTGCATTATGCATATGACTCGGCAACATTTTGTTGTTGTTGTTGTTCCTTACAAGTCTATCTTGAAGCTCTTTCCATATCAATCCCGGTAAATCTCCTTCTTCCCAACACCTATACAGAATTCCCATGCCACTGTGGGTGTATACATATTTTATTTAAACAACTTCCTATGAATAGAATTTAAGTTGTTTCAAATTATTATTAAAAATGATACTACCATAATCTTTGTTGTTCATTGTATTTGATACACTGGTTTGAGTATAATATGAGAAATTCTTTGTGGAAGTTTTACAATGTTTACAATTGATAGATACTACAATAGTCTATACTGAAATAGTCTATAAAATCCATAAATTCCACTCACAGTGGGTGCAAAAACCTATATATCCATACATCAGCAGCAGTGAATGTTGTTTTAATTTACATTTGCATTTCTCTGATTGCTAGAGAGCTGCAGGCCGCATTAGATGTGTGCTGGCATTTTCCCTTTCTTGCTTTGTCTGAACTGTTTCTTAAACAGTCTTTACTTTTTAATATTTTTTTTCCAATTGCAATACTAATCTTAGATATTTGCAATGATTCTTTCTGTATCATGGACACTATCTCCTTCCCCACCATCATTTATGTTTCAGATCTCCTCCCTGGTGTGTGCTGTAATTCCCCCCTTGTTTATAGTGGTGCATGGTGCACACTATTTTCTGATCTGTCCAGATTTTCACTTGGAAAACTTCATTCCGCTCTCATTCAAATTCTTACAATGAGAAGTAAAACAAAGAGTTCATAAACTGTGGACATACCCTTTTATCATGCCGTTTTCTCCCTGATGGGGGGTCTCAAGAGGGAAACCTATTGGTCTGGGAAGTTATAGGGTCATGTTTTAGTGGACAGATTTTAATTGTGAAATTATTCATATTTGTTTATGTGGGCACACACATACACACATAAAGAGAGATTCTTGAGGGAGGAAGGGTTAAATACAGATAATTTATTTTCCTCTCTATCTACTTATTGTTGATGAATGTTGTTTTCTAATGAATGAGGAGATTGTAACCTTTGCTGATGAGTTAGATGAGTTTTTCTGAGCTGGCCATCCATTACAGTGGCATTCTATCCATTTCTAGATTCAATTCTATCTGTCAACATAAACCAGTTCTGTGTTGTAAGTTTATTGACCTGAATTCTAAATATATGGAGCAATTTGCTAAAATATTGACACCCATTTTACATAAAGTTATAGCATTTGGTGGAATCAGAGAATTGTTTATCTGGGGAGTCATTAATCCCTGGTGTGATTAAAAACTAGGCCTGTATGATAGCCAACTCATTCACTTACCCCAGATTCATTGCATTCCAAAATTATTGTGCTCCACTGTGTGCCAGATTCTAGGGATATAAAGGTGACTGAAACAGGGTCTCTGCCTTATGGACAGTAGGTTAGAACACACCAGTGCCCAGATGTGAGAACGGAGGGGAAGCCATGTGGGATCTGAATGGGAAGAGGATTTGGGGAAATCATTGCATCTGAGACTTTTCAGTTTGGCTTTGAAATATGAGCTTGGTTTTGCCAGCAGCAAGATAAAAGAAAGGGCATTTGGTAGAACATTCTAGGAATTGCTGGAATGTGCCAGGGCGAAGGCATGAAAGAACATGGCAAGTTTGTGGTGCGTGTGGCTGTAGCTCAGGAGAAGCATCGGCACAGGAGAGCAGAGAGCAGGGCCTGGGCTGGGTAGTCAGATCCCTGTGTGCTGGTAAGGAACTGAACTTGGTCCTGAACATGACCTCATGCCAGAGAGGTACAAGATCAGTGTTTTAGCAGTGTGAGTGATGGATGGTTCTGAGCAGGCACAGACACCACCTGGAAGGTCATTGCAATGGGCCCAGTGAGAGGTTTTGTAGGTCTGAGCAGCTGTGAAGTGGAGCAGGGTGTGTGGGGGGGGATTGTGGGAGGAGAGAGGGAAGGATAGGGATTATTTAGATGGTAGAGTCAATAGGAATTGGTTACTAAAAGGGGAGGGCAAGCCCAAGGGATGGAAAGGAACGAGGGGAGGGTAAAATGAACTGAACTCTAGAAGGGGTTAGATTGAGCAATTAGGAAGAGTTCAGATCGATGTGTGGCATGGCGATCTGGATGGAGGAATATCCAGGTAGAAATGTCTACCCTGATGCCCCAGATGGAGATCAGGTTGGACATCAGAGTGTGTTGAGCCTCCTGGGTGCTGGACAGAGCTCTGAGAGCCCATGAGATCGTTTGGGCGAATGTGAATATTGCAAAGAGAAGAGGCTGTGTTGAGGAACGGAATATTTAAGGAGAAGATAGATGGCCAAAATCTAGGCAGTGTGTGGCAGAGATGTCATCTGTTCTGATGATTGATAGGTCCCAAGTACTCATAAATATTTCTTAATTGGGGAGGAGGAGACAAATCATCTGAGGAGCCTGAGAAAGAATCATCAGAGATAGAGGTGGACAGGCATTAATGAGCGTGCCAAGGTCAGGGGAGCAAGGGAGAGGAGGTTTAGGAGGCAGATTGGTGAAATATATCAGATGCTCCTGAGAGAGGTCAGTGTGGTGGAGGACTGGAGGCTTTGAATGAGCCAACAAAAGAGGGCAGCTCCAGGTGGATGGGTGTACTGTGGGTACAAAGAGAAGGTCAGGTGTCAAAGTCTTTGGAATAAGGCGGAAGACCCACAAGGATAGTGCTTGAGCTGCTGTCTGGTGGGCGCCTGGGAAATGAGCCCTATTTGGATTATGACAGTAGCCTTGACACTTTCTATACTTACACACTGAGATCTAGCAGACTCTGCAGTAGTCTGTGACAGTGGTTCTTAATGTGAAGTCTGGCTGGCCAGAAGCATTCTCTAGGAATCTGTTAGAGGGGCACTCTGGCCCTGACCCAGAAACCCTGGGGATGGGGCTTCTGGGAGAGGTTGATACACTCTAAATTTTAAAAAAGCATTGTTTTGTGGGCTAATTTTGAGAAAAAAATTAGCACTTTTGAGCTAATTTGCAGAGTGAGCTTTTAAAGCTAGGAGAGAGTCCTAAAGCCAAGATTTTCAGATCAAAGGGTAGGAGAAATGAAATTCTGCCCTTGTGCCTGAAACACAGCCAGGGTTCAATTATTTGCTGCAGGTGGGTGGAGGAGCTGAGTAGCCTCCTTCTTCCACTGAGTCTCAAATTTCTTGTTGCAGCATAAAATATTATTTTCTAAGGAGAAGGTCTGCTTTAATAGAATGTGGTTTTACTTTTATAAAGGGCCTGGGATTCCTTAGTTCTATTTTTCTGTGCTTAAAATACCATCTGACCCTTCCGTCTTTGGTGTGTGCATGGGTGCAGCCGTGGGAAAGCTGGGGATGCTGGGGAGGGTCTCCACTGCTGCTGCTGCCTCTTTATCAAAACATTTGTTTTTGTCCTACCAGGTCTGCGAGCTGGATATTATCTTTAATTTTGAAAAGGCATATTTTATCCTTGATGAATTTATAATAGGTGGAGAAATTCAGGAAACATCCAAGAAAACTGCCGTCAAAGCTACTGAAGACTCTGATATGTTACAAGAGGTCAGTACAATTTTCCATTGCGTAGGAAAAGATGATGACGATGATGGTGGTGATGATACTGTTAATAAGATTACAGGGTAGCCCTGTAATCCCAGCTACTCAGGAGACTAAGACAAGAGAATTGCAAGTTCAAGGCCAGCCTGGGCAATTTAATGACACCCCATCTCAAAAAATAAAATGGGAGTGTGGTCAAACATGACCCCAGGTTCAAAAAAATATTATATTAACCACCATTCTGTTGGTACTTTGTGCTGAGTATAGTTTCTAAGCAATTCACATGTATTAGCTTATTTCTTTCAGTAACTCTAAGAAGTAGCTATTATTGTTACTCCATTTTACAGATGAGTAAATAGAGGCATCAGAAGATTAATGACCTGCTCAGGTTTACACAGTTAATAAATGGGCAATAGAGTTTGAACCCAAGCAGATGGGTCCTGTTTGGATGAACATTTTAGTGTTAGGATATCTCACTATCAAAAAGATATCAAATTCTTGGTGTTATTCTTTGAAAAAAATAATGTTATGAGATGTATAAAAAGACTTTCATTGAAATATCTGTGCTGCCTGAGAAAGGAGAATAGCAGTACATAGTTATTTCATTTGCCAGGAATATTAGGGCTTTGTTATTGAACATGGCATTTATCATTTTAATTAAAATTTCTTACACCTCCTGGGAAGGCCAAACGTGTGCTCCTGTTTGCATAAATAAATTGGAAGCACTGTGGATGCTTGCTGAGATATAAATGGGCTCTGAAGAATCCATTTGGTACTGCTCCTAACTCTCTGTGATTCTTATATTGTGGGATTTTTCTTTTAGTAGCAGCCCAGATTTGCATCATATCTAATGGGGAACTTAGCCTATGCTACCTCCTTCAGTCCTCCCATGGACACTGTGATAAAGAGCAGTTAGATCCACTGACTTCTGCTCTCCAAAACCAGATGATTTGATCAGCCCCAGCTCAGGCATGTGCTTGGTGGGCTGAGTTCCATCCCAGCTTGGCCAAGGCTAGGTCCTTCTCCCAGAGCGTCAGTGGGGTCTCTGCATCTTTGTTTTCATAACAGCAGGTCAAGAGGATCCAGAGCATCCTTAAGTACCTTCTTAAAATTGGCATTAAAGCCATTCTTCCTGCTCTTTGGAAATAAGAGGCTGACTAAGTTAACAACATTAGGAATGATTTCCCAGCATGTTTGGTACTCCTTTGAGCTGATTTCTTGCTCCTGCTCATGGAGGGCATCAGTCTCTAGGGGAGTGGGCCTGAAAAAGGACACCTATTTGAGTGAGCACCCATAAGCAGCTCCGTGTGCCTCCATGTGAGGCCATGCATTTATTACTAGAGGTGTTCTCACCTTAAAAATGCATTTCAATTCTCTGAGGTTTACTTAGCTCTCTCCAAAATGCCACTGGAAGGGGATTTTTACAAGGTACTAGAGAAATCTGTGGTTTGGAAATCCCATGGAATAACATTTTGTAAAATATGCTGGAGGAAGAGTAGAGAGGGTGAGAGGGAGAGATTATTTAAAATGCTGTCCTCAGGGTTCCCAATGTGGAATTTCTATTCAGGAGGAAAAGACTCCTCACAGGGTCTTTGGTGCTTCAGTAATTAAAGCTTCCTGAATTGGGGCCAAGACATACCTGGATTATTTTGAAATTTCCCCTTCTGTAGGAAAGAGAGTGTTAAAGAGGTTGTGGTGAATGTGGTGTTTCTAGTTTCATCTAAATATTAAAAGCAGGTATTTTACGAGTAAATTCTTTCTCCTTAAGTGGACAAACTTGATGGGTGGGTCTCGGGGACCTGCATTTAACCCTATGTTCCCCAGCAAGTAGCAATGTCATGCTGCCCTTAAATAGCTCTGATTGAATAAATAGTATCCACCAATAGAGAAAGTGTCACTAGTGTCTTTTTGGGCTCTGGTACTCCCTTCAGTGAAGTTCATGGGCATTTTGGTGAGCTTGCTGAAAATTAACTTTATCTATCTTACCTGATTCAGAAAGTTTAGAATGAGTAGGAGAAAATAATTGCATAAAGGCAAAAAAGAAAAAAAAAAGTGCTTTCTTGATTCCCTGTCCTTTGGACAATATTTGTCCTTACTGTAGGCTAGGAAAGGTCTTCATGACATTGATTTTACTTTAAGAACACAGTAGCTTCTCCAAGTAGGTCCAGAGCCTTTTCCCCAATCTACTTAATAAAAGTTTCTTAGGATAAAAATAAATAAATAAAAGCTGTCTTTACTCATTTAATAAGACCTCATGGTTTCAGAGTCTCAAAACTCTAGATGCTCCAGGCTTATTCCTAGTGTACCGGGGCTAGATGTTGACAATAAGGAAAGTCGAAATTTAATTGGTTGAGGATGACTTATTTGGGAGGGAGTAACAAGGTGGATATGATGACATAAAGTTGTTAGAAACAAAGGAAATTCGAACTAAGAGATAACTACCCACAGGGATTGCAATTCCTAGGGTTACCAGTAGGGGCAGTCATCAGCAGATGTTATACACAAAAAGATAACATAAAGAAGGGAAAGTCAAATGGTACATGAACGCTCAAGCAACAGGATGCCTCATGTGCATGTGTGGATGTAGGCGCAACCTGCTCAGTGTGCCCCTACACTGTCACCATTCTTAGTACATTAACAGCTAAGCCAAACCAGAGTGCAGTAGGCATAGCATGTACAGTGCAGAATGCACAAGATGCACACCACAGTGCTAGATAGAGCCAGAAGGTGTCCCAAGGTACACACTCCAGCCCTCTTCTTGCAAAGGTAAGGGCACACCTCTTTAGGGATGTGTCTGTTTTAAAAGTCTGCTCCAAACCTTTCAAGTGACAAACTCAAGAAAATACCACCTCTGAGGTTACTGGTTCATGTAGATCGAGTGACAGTTGGGTTCAGGCAAGGCAGTCAGCGCAGCAGTCAGCAGCCTGTGTCATCTGGTAGTGTGAGCAGTGCTGATAGCTAGAGGCCAGTGAGCCCCGAAGCCAGTGAGGTGTCTACTCCAGGGCCTTTGACTGACTCAGGCTTCTTCAAGACTGCAGAAAGGAACTATGTACTCACATTGTCATGCATTTTCGTCAAATTTGCAAAAGGAAGGTATTTTATATAGCTCTACAGTCAACCTAAGATATGTTAGAAGAGCATTGGCCATTAATTAATGAGAATAGCATGCTATTCTGGATTTTGTTATATTTGCCATCTTTTTAATATTAGTAACCTCTCATCATTTCAAGTAAACTTTATACTTAATTTTATATTTGAAATTTTGTGTTCCTTTCAAAAGGTATGAATTCCATGTTTCATAAAACTGACATGGTCTGTTAGCTGGCATGGTATCCCAGCTAAGTTAAAAGACATGGGTGACATCTTTAGGAGGAGATACAGGACAGAAGCCTTAAGGATGTGGGCCTCTGTTGGCCAATGCTTTTTAGGAGGCCTAAGAGCTTTTGAAGAAAGTGTGGGTGATTTAGTAGCAGTATTTTCAGCAGAAGAGCACTGAATTCTAGAAGGCAGATAGAAGCAGTTAGAAAAGCTGACTTCTAACTTCGGTCTCCCCCTGGCGATCTTGGTTGGCCATGACCTTGGTCTATTTGGTTCAAGCTGTCAGTGTCTCTCCTGGCAGGTTCGAATGAGTCACAGACACTGAGGTCTGAACTTAAGAACAAGTGAGGCAGGGGTTGCTAATAGAACTGATGGCGACTCAGCACAGAAGAGGCAGGGCATTGCTCAGGAAAGACTTGCTGCCCTTCTGAGCTCTCTTATTGATTCAACCTGGGGCTATGGTGTTTCTCAAACATATGTGTTTGTGGTAGGAGGGAGGGCGATGGAAAGTCAACCCATCTTGTACAGTATAGTACTTGCAGCATTACTGTACCTATGATTGTGAATCTCTTTAAACGCTTTTTTTTAAAAAAAAAAAAAAAGAAAAGAAATATGGAGCTGTGTCTTATTGGCAAACTTGGTAACTGATGAGTAGGATGAAAAAACATGATTTGTATACTTGGGAGGAAAGCCTTTCAAAACCCATGGTCACCGTTCTGCAGAATCATGGTGTATCATTTATGTCTTGGCAGTAAGTGTACCAAGGATGTTCTGCACAGTGTAGGGAGCAGGACATGTGCTCTGCAAGTGCCCTTCAGGCCTCCCTAGACACATTCCTGGATGTGGTCCTCATGATCCTTTAGCAGACACATTCACCTTGAGTCAACAGTGCTTCTTGACAGGTGTGGTTTCTGCTTTTCTCTTAGCAGACACTCATTGGATGATCAAGCTTAGCTTTTCCAGCCATATGGTCATGTGTACAAATGATACTTAAACTTCAAACCACCTTTCTCTATCAGAATGCAAAGATTTATGTCCACAAATGCTTTTGAAAACTTTTTTCAGTAATGGCAAAAAATATCCAAAAGAATGAAAAAGATTTCACTGTTTGCTACAGAATTCGGCTTAAAGGGAAAATTGTTCTAATTCATTGTTCTCTTTCAGACAATGGAAGAATACATGAACAAACCTACATTTTAACTGTACATCTACTTGAAGACTCTGAGTGCTATGAATTGTAAATTTACAAACAAGCAATGCCTTACAGTCAGTCTTGACAAAGCCTCTGGCACCATGCCAAAAATAACTTAAAGGGATTCTTTGTTAACTAGCACAAATTGAAGTCTTTAACATGATATATTTATAATTGCTACACATCTGTATTATACTATATATGAGTACTTTTTGTGTGCCTGGTTTCTTGAAACGACTGTTGAATAACCCAATGGATGAATAGTTGTTTGCAATGTTTTAATTCCATGTGATATTTTAAAGCTAATTTTGAAAAAAATGATTGCAATATATTTGCATTGCATTTGACCTCCTACTGACAGGTTGAAAACTGTATTGTTGATAACCTGTGATTCTGAAAGTAAAGTATATATTATTAATGCCTTTCCTAAATATTTAATTTTTAAAAGTATATATTAATTCAAACTTATGTTAATAGTTGAGTTCATACCTAATGCTGGATATTTTTCAAATACTTAATAATACTGTAATTTCAGACCAGATACAATGTATCTTATTTTAATGTTCTGAATTCATTTATTTTTTGAGGATTGGAATTAGAGACGATAACCAAAGAAAGTATAGAACTTAACAAGTGTTCTTGAGGCTTTAGGAGCTGCTACCTAGGCTGAGGTTTTAATTTTACCTTTTAATTGAATATAAGGGACATTCCAGTAAGGTTATGTTTTCTACAAACTCTATATATTTATTAAGATTTTTAGAGATCCAGAGATCTAGTGTCTGTGACATTCTTTATTATAAAAATAGTTTATTAGGGATTAATAACAATGCAATAATTATTATTGCTACTACTATTTTAAAAATCTCTTATGTTAAAAGCACTCTTAGTTGCTTGAGAGGTTTTATTTCAAATATTTTTAATGTAAATTTAATATATTTTAAGTCATTGCTTATTAGGCTTACTAAGGGCATTTATTAGCTATCATTGCAGTCTAAATGGTGGATGATTTTCCTTCTCCCTTCCGCAAATTTTCTGCTTGATGTTACTGTAAATATGTTACCTTAATGCTTCCTGGAATGAAAATTCTACATGACCAGGTACTAAATATGATCTGAGCTGGGCCTGGTGGCACATGCCTGTAATCCCAGTGTCTCATTAAGTTGAGGCAGGAGGATTGTGAGTTCAAAGCCAGCCTCCGCAATTTAGAGAAGCCCTAAGTAATGTATCGAGACCCTATCTCTAAATAAAACATAAAAAAAGGGCTGGGGATGTGGCTCAGTGGTTAAGTGCCCCTGGGTTCAGTCCTCGGTACCAACGAAACAAAACAAAACACAAAAATGTGACCCGACACATAATGGGGAAATAGCTGGCACTGTTCTGTCTTGGTGCCTCTCTCTGAAATCTTACCTGTACATTTTCAATGGGAGCCTGAGGGCTGGTATCGCTCATAGTGGAGCTGTCAGTGCCTCCTAGTGCTTTTCTTAAGGCAAGCCAGCAGATTGCATATGGTACCCCCTCATAGAACATGATGGAAAGACCTCCTCTGTGGGTCATCTCAGTAGAGGGCTTCGGGAAAAAGGCAAGATGGGAGTACAAGAACAGAGGGCTAATTGACCAATTCCCCAATATAACCATTATTTAAAGGAAATAATTCAGATGAGTATATGGAATAATCACTGGGCTTTTAACTATTTCCTCAAATTAATAATATGATTGCAATTATGGCATCAGACTGAAGTTTTATCACTTTTTTATCACCGTGTCTACTGTTTCTTTAGTTCTTTAACTTTTTTTTTTTTTTTGGTAAATATGGTGAAACTCTGTTTTTCAAGACAATTTTATAAAAGATTTTGTACTTTCATGTAAATATATCACAGTTTTTCTGGTTCCTTTCCATTATTTTTGGATGAAGGTATTTTTTGAACCTCATTAAATGTACTAAATATGTTCTGGATAATTCCATTCTAGAGACTGTCTAGCTATGCATAGATATTCTCAGACTTCCTGTCACATACAGAAAATGATTATGTCTTTGTGGCACACTGGGGTAAGTTTGTGGCACACTGAGGAATTTGGGGGGCATCTTTTATGGGTTTTGGTGAAAATAGTCATTACATTTTCTTTGTATTGTATAATTATCACAAGGGTACCAAGTGCAAGGAATGGCAATAAATATTCAGCTTGTATAATGCTTCCAAATAAAATATTTTAAAAAATTTCAATGAGAAACTTGAATGTGTTGTTATGAATATATTTTTTAACCAGATTTTTAATGCTTGAAATTGCCACCCCTAATTTCTGGCCCAAGTCCCTATCATTTTCTTGCTACTTTTCATGAAGAAGAAACTTCCCAAGTAGGGACAGCAACTTGTTCCTACTGACTTCTTGGTCACTATTCCTGTACATTTCGATAATCTGATTTTTTTTTAACCTACATTTAATGGTGCAGTCATTGTTTAAATTTAGAGCCTAACTTTTCTTAATCTCTCTCTGTATGCTTTTCTGCTGTTTCTCAAGGGAAACAAGTGGAACTTAGTGTACTTGCAGGGATGCTTTGAGCCATAATGCTAAGCATCCTACTTGTATTCAGCTAGAGCATCACAGTGGGGATCACTAGGACCTGGGGATCTGCATGCTGGTCCTGGCTGCCCCTGATAAGACTCATGGGCTTGCTCTTTAGAATGGGTGGAACATCAGAGTCAGGTGGGATCGTGAGGTAAGCTAGTTCAAACCTCTCATTGTACAGAAGAGGAAAGGAAATCAGGACTTTAACATTTATTCTTTGATCAGGTCCCAGTGCTAAACATTTGTTTAATAAAACTTTGACTGTTCAAAGATATTACCCATGAAAGTATTTGATGAGTCTGTTTTCTTGGTATAAAGTACAAGCTAATGATATTCGAAGCATGTTTTTTGCCCTTTTAAATGATGCAGGTGAAGTGTGTTGGGAACACTTGGGATGATTGATTACATTATAGGGGTAAAGAAAAGAGTTGCTTCTGGAATACAGGCAAAAGGTGAATGACCAAGTTTGTGTTGCTGACTTGTGCAGGTGGGATTTCTGTCACCTTTTAGAGGGAGGAGAAATCAGAGAAAGAATACATATTCTGCTAGTGTTGAATAATAGTCTGGAAAAACTACTGAGCTCTGTGACTACTTCCAACATTTAGCTGAAGCTTATCATGTCACCCTTGGTTGTATCTAACCATGAGAAAAGAGCTTCACGTTTGGTTATGGGCTGAGGAAGAAACAGCAAGCACTGGATGAAAATAACACTGAAAAATAAGCAGAGACTGGAGGGTTATTTACCAAGTCACTTCCTGTTTCCCTCTGGGCATAGACCTATGCTTTATTTCCCAGCCTCTTTTGAAGTTGAGTTTATAAATGACAGAATTATGACCCGTGGAATGTGGGTCAAAGTAATATGAGCCCCATTGCAGGTCTGGCTCATGAATGTGGCCCGCCATTCTCTGACTTTCCCTGTTCACAGCTCAAGGAAAAGACTCCAGGATCCAGAAAGGCAGAGCCATGAGATGGAGGAAACCTAAAACAAAGCTGTCAGGAAAGGCAGCCATCTAGGCCAGCCACGTGGCGGCATGATGTGTGTGGTAGAAACGGACTTGTGTTGTGTGAAGCCACTGAACTCCTGGGTGTTGGCCACAGTCTTGAGCCCACCCCCACCTAATGCATAAAGCAAGTGGATAATAAACAGAGTTGGCTACTAAGAAGACACACCCAAACTGAGAAGCGGAAGTATGATGTTGTCATTCATATGTCACATAAGTTTTCATAAATAGAACGTGGGTCCCACAGGCCACCCTAATCTTGCATACAATTTTACTTTCTCACTGTGTAAAAATTTATGTGATCTTATAAAAATTAGATCTAGTTTCTTCTGAAACTTGTAAGAGCTGGCAGCATTGGGCCTGCTTTTCTGCATGGAGTTGCAGAGTCTGCTCCTATTCCTCTACCTACCTACCCATACTCTAGCCTAACCCTGGAACATTTGCATTTGATCCCCATACTGGATTTATACCCTGCTTCTGTGGTTGCTTTTGCAGCCCTTTACTCTGCCTTTAAAAAAATTATATCTATATCTATATCTATATCTATCTATCTATCTATCTATCTATATCTCACTGGAGATGAAACCCAGGATGTCTTACCACTAAGCCACATCCCTATCCCTTAATTTTTTCGGGGGGGTGGGGGTGGGGAGATTACAGAATCTTGCCAAGTTGCCCAGGCTGACTTGATGTAGAGCTCCTCCTGTCTCAGCCTCCCAGGTCACTGAGTTTACAGGCCTGTGCTATCATGCTTGGCTGAGTCTGCTTTGGGGAATACTTTGATCTGACTACTTCTGAACTTGTAAGTCACCTACTCCATCCTCCTTCACACTTCTTCCAGTTTGATATGTGACTTTCTCCTTGGCTCTTTCTTGTTCAATTTATTCCTTTTACCTCAAATGCCATTTGCTCCATCTTCTATAGCCAGTTTCTTAAATACTCTTCTATAGCCAGTTTCAGGAATCCCCTCTTGTCTCATCCTTTCCTTCTACTCTCTTTGCATAATATTGGTGTCTCCCAGGGTAACTGTTGCTCCAGATATTAAATGATAGATATTTAAATATGTGTCTTACCTCTTGCTGACATAAAAAATTCGGGGTGTGTGTGAGACAGAGATAGAGACAGAGAGGGAGTCTTTTCAGATTTCCTAAATGGCCTATTGATGTCCTAAACACACACCATTCCTAATAGCTATCAGATTGAAAACCTCTCCTTTAAACCATGTAGTTTTCTTAATACTCCTGGGCTAGAACCACAAGAAGTTCACGAAGCCAGCAAGCAGTCTGTTCGTTTCCAGGGAACATCACCAGGATAGTTTATTTTGGGCCAAGAAGGACTGTATTATCTCTTATATTGTCTTGAGTTCATAAAGAACATTAAAGCATTGCACTTCTGAAGCATGATAAAATTTCAAAAGTTCGGGTGACAGATGATACTCTATTGTTCAAGATTTTTTTCTATTTTGTCTATAGCTGGGTCCCAACCATTCATATCAGTGCCTTTCACACAGTAAGACACCAATAAGAGTTATAATGAAAGTTGAATGCTGATGTGCAAATATGTAACAATGAATCCCACCATTATGTATTATAATGCATCAATAAAAAATGGGGAAAAAATGAATCCAAAAGACTAAGTTCCACATAATGATTCCTTGGCTGCAGTTGTCCTTGTGGTAGAGTGATCAAATTAAAACTGAGGCCTCATTGGTGATCTTAAGGATGAGTTTTGTGTCCTTGTGAAAGAAACAAGTGGGTGGGACCAAAAGCTAATCTACCACCTTTCCAGGGCCGCCTTCATTCCGTACCATCTATGAAAAGCCATTCATCTGGGTGGCACAGCCCTCTCTCGCCAACATGATGGAAGAGAAGCCATGTTTTGTTGATGTGGTTGTACAGAGAAGAGCAGTGTTTGTTTTTTTTTTTTTTTTTTAAATGTGACTACCCAATGATGAGATCTTTCTGTATTTTTAATTATGTCACATAGATTATGACTGTAGCACTTGGTTATTTCAAAGGACAGCTTTTTTAGAATACAAGCGTCCTTTTCAATTCTTATTTTTTCTCATGCACAGGGTAGGAGCAGTCTTCCTTTTATCCTCTGCTACAAAAACACGTTGACTTTCTCTCATAGATACCATATGAAATCGGTGCAAATGCAAGTGATATGAAAACAAAGCCTCAGAAGGCACACTTGTAAACAGAAAGGAAAAATACCTTTTAAGGAAGCTGGACTGCAGCCGAAAGTGGTAGTTGCCATGGGAATGATCAACTGCCAATTACCTGGTACACCAGACCTTGCTAAGATATTACTCATAAGGGACAGGAAAGCAGTTTCTTTCTTTAAAAAAAAATTTTTTAAACAGATGAGTAGATAAGGAAAGGCAGGCAATAGTGAAAGAAAGAATGTGGTATTTCATGTTGGATAAATGTAAAGATTCCCATTTATTTGATTGTCTCTTTTTTTGTTATTTATATAGTGGGAAATATAATGGAAACAAGAATTTAGAGTGAACAGCAATTGCGAACAAGGCCTGAGAGCCAAAGTCAGATCTTGATTCTGACTTCTTCCCATCCTTCTTGATAGTTACATTTGAGTGAGAAAGGCAAATTAATTATAGGCAGTAGAAAATCAGACTTCATGATAAAGTGTTCATGTGACAACGGAGAATTTCTTTTTAAAACATATCCTATGGGACTGACTTCTTTACTCTCAATGGCTTCATTAGAAATCATAATGCAAATATTAATATTTAGAGAAATAAAACTAAATGGGAAATAAATTGATTGGGAAAGCATATTAGGCTCTTTCTTGCTTAATTGTCCTTAGGGAAAGCAGATCATTCATATCAGGACTCCTTCACCATTGCCTCCCCATAGACAGCTTGCCTTCCACCTGGGCTTCCCAGCCGGTGTGTTGTGGCAGGTGGAGGTGATGTACATTGACTACAGGTGTCCTTTGTCCCCAGGGGAGCCTTCTTCCTTTACCAAAGGAAATGTGCCACAAATAGAATTATTTTCTCTGCTGCCATGATATAAAAACGTTGGAGGAGGGATCTTACAACGGCGACCTTGTAACAGCCAGCCTGACAAACATGGGGCGGTAGAGAGGACACGGGAAAGCAGCCTCCTTAGTCTGGCAGTCTCCAGGCCCAGTGCCACACGCTGACAGCCTTGGGAGAGCTCCCTTCACTGGCTCAGGAGCTGGATCACTTCTCAGGGCTCAGCTCAACCTCGACTCCTGCGAAACCACTTTCTTCCCCAGCACAGGTGGATGTTATGGAGTGCCACATGGGTCAAAAAACATGACCATGCAGTGGCGATGGGTACCTTCTCAGAACCATGAACTTCTACAAGGCCGAGGCCGTGAGCTTCCTACTGCTATGCAGAGGCGTTACTTGTTCATTACTTACGTAAATAAAAATGCTTCAAAGAAGTGTGTTTAGACAATAGTTGTGAGGTTCCCACCTACCACATCACCCTGGACACATTCACTATGGATCAGGGTCCCACTGTCTCTTTTTAGTCCTTGAATGGAGCCACTTGAGGTGATATAATTTTTCTCTGAAGACACCCGTTCATGAAAGAGTTAACTTGGGTGTGTGTTGCTCAAAGCCTGCATATTCCAAATGAAAACCTGCTTTCAGAATTGGCTGG